TTCAGTTTAAGGAAGTTGATAAAATGGTCGGCTTTGGTATCCATAAAGCAGAGTAAAGTAAGAATCTGCAGAGGCATTGGCTAATGTCCATGCAATGTATATACTTGGTGGGGATTTTGTTTCTCAACAAAACTGGAGTAACAATTTCATGCTAACTTTTTACAACGCAAATAGGAATTGTTTTGTCAACTCCATCATGGAAATGGATTTGAAAGGATAATTTGTGTATACTCTAAAAGACAGCTAGAAGTAAGTTTGCTGTTTATGAAATATCCTTACAAAGCGTTTGTACCTCTGTGTATTATCATATGGATTTCAGATCCAAAGTCTGAAGAAGGAACCTACTGGGTCTTGAAAGCTAACTTCCCTAATAACGTAAGCTAGTCAATAACGGGTGTATCACTTAAGCTTCAAACTTTCTACAATAATCAAGGGATAACACCGTACAAGATTTTATTACTGATAGAAGCAAGTAAAATGTAAACAGGATGAAGACACCCCTTAACAATATATACATATTTCAATTTAAAAATGTAAGGTTACCTGACTGTTTGCCTTCCTTTCTTGGATGCCACATCCAATGAGGCCGATAGATGCTTGTCAGGATACACCTACTGACTCCCGAACATCTTCTGAAAATATAAAACAAATAACTTAAATCCAGGCATCTCCAAGTAAACTCTGTTTTTCTTATTGCCATACAGTGAGAAAGGTGCAAATTGGTGGTAAAGAAAATAAACTAAGGGTTGTATATGTTTTTTTTTTAAATGTAGAGCTATTCATCCTGTGAAACTGCATGTACATTTGTTCTGTATGACTGGGGATAATAAATTAAATGTTATACAGCTAACATTTCTCCCCAAGTGGAATGTTATTCATAGGATGAATCAGGAAAGTACCAATTTTGGCCACTAGATGAAGCTGATGATCATTGTACATAGGTATTTATTCCCTATGATCCTTGGCTCCATCTAGTGTCCATAAAGCAGTATTTTCCTGATTCTTTCTATTGTGTGTGAATGAAGAACCTTCGACCTGGACAGAAAAAGGCCTAATACTATTTGATTTTGCCCAACAGAACATATTTACAGTACATGCAGTTGCACAGATGGCAATACCTCTGCAATATTTTTTTTTAATGAATTAGCCTTGAAATGCGTACAATATAAACTAAATTTATGAAAAAGCTCTGCATGGTTTATGGTACTGTTTTGCTATGACACAAAGAAAAGTATCTTTTTTTCTTACTAAATATTAAGATAATTTACGAAATTAAACAAATAATATTGAACAATGGTAAACAAATTATAACACTCGGTCACTCGGAGGGAGTCAGATTGTTTGCCAGACGGCGGGTGCATGCTTCAAACGGTCAGCGGAGATTCGGTTTACATTTGAAATGCCTTATATTGATCACAGCACATGTGAGTGTATTACTTGGAGATAATAAAGCTATATTTTAAAAGGATAAAACACTATGTTCGGAATTTTTTCCCTATATGTGGAGAGACGTATGGAGAGGAGAGTATAGAGGGCTTATGTCCTCGTGAGGAAGGATCAATCCCAGAGGGGAAAATCAGTGATAAAGGATATCCACTATCTAAAAAGGAAAGAGTCTTTATCAAGCAGGTTCCATAGGAGGTGAACCAAAAGCGCATATAGCCTAATTATAGGCAGATAAGGAGGTGAGCTTACATCTGCACTAATGGGAGGATTCACAAACAGTCACGGATTCAAATGCAATCACGGATTGAAGATTAATTAAAGCACTAAGTCACTATTTTTATGTTTTACGGGACACTGTTTCTACACAATATTAATTAAGTATATATGTATATTTATTTTTGAGATTTATATTTTTTTCACTAAAAATGATGTATTATTGATTTAGCAATTTTATAATCACGGATATATATTAATATTATGAATTATTTAGTTTTTTAAGTAAATTAAGAGATTATTATATATGTATTTTGGTCAAAGGATTTAATGTATGTTTAGTTATTTTTTCACTTGTCTATGCATGATCATTTGTATTGGGCATGGATAAGCGATCATAAGTATTAAGGAGCGCAACACATTATGGTGATATAAGTTATACACAGTGGTAGTTATGTGTTGGGTGTTTGCGATCCAATTATATTAAGGATATTTTGTCCAGTTTTGTGCATTAGGGTGGTTATCTGATTTGGCTCACAAGATATATAAACATTTTTATAAACAAATTATAACAAACAATAAAATGAACCACAAAGTTCAAGCATTAAACATTGTATTAGAATATTTTACAATGTTTGTTGCCCTCTGTAAGTTTGTACCTGCATGTTCTTCTACTTTCACATGTGCACACACACAGTTACTGGAAAACAACTGTTAGCACACCGCCCAAATTAAACTAAAAAAAAAAAATAAACATGAGAGAAACATGGCTGCTGCCATCAGTTGCTGAGCCACAACAAGTATGTCTACAGTGAAAACCTTGCAACAAAATAAAAAGTCGTTATTTAAAGCGGCGTTCCACCCAAAAGGGGAAGTTCCGCTTTAAGGATTGGTTCCCCACTCTCCATTAAGGATTGGCACCTTTGGGGAGGGGGGGGGGAATGGGTACCCGAATTTGAAAGGTACGCGCTCCAACTTCCACTGCAATTGCCTAGGCGATCAGAAACGGAAGTTGTCCTCCTCCCTGAAGTCTTGTGGGACACATGACAGGCCCCAGAAGACGACGGGGCCATTCAGGAAGTGCAGCGCTTGAAGCCACAAGCTGTCACAGCTGGGTGCCCACACTGAAGATGCCGGCGCCTGGAATACAGGACAGCCGGTGAAACGGGCTGCGGCGGGGGCACCGCAGGACCGAGGGACAGGTAAGTGGCTGTTTTTTAAAAGTCAGCAGCTACAGTTTTTGTAGCTGCTGACTTTTATTTTTTTAACAGAGTGAGTGGAACTGCGCTTTAAAAACCTGTTAAGTTCAGCAGGGACTAGCCTAAATTTTGACCCATGCATGGGCAGGTTGGGTCTGCAATCGACCAGGCTGTCATATTTTCTACACTCTGATCAGTGTGTTCTGATAATGGGGAAGTCTCCCTTCTGTCAGAACACAATACTTCGGTGGAGAGGATTCCCCCATCCACATCGACTGTTTGGATGGGGGAATCAAGTTGTTTTTTTTTTTCAACCCACTGGTGTTGCTGGTGGTGGGACAGGTAAGTACAATATCACAACACCCTGCCTCAATGCTCTTCCCAAACACGCTCACCCCAATATGTGCAGTAGGCTGGCTCTTGGAAAATGTTACGGAAATATCAATTTGCCTTGATAGGTGGATGTTAGTCTGGCATAGTGGGCAGTCCTAGGCAGGCTGAGTTTGCAAGTAGACCACCCTAGGTAACACCTACATGTAATCCTGAACCTCTATGATTGAAAGAGCTGAAATCCAGTTAAAGCAGTAGTAAACACCACTTGGACCTACAGGGAGGCTTATAATAAAAACTTACCTGTAGGTACAAGAAATATCTCCTAAACATCCATCATTTAGCAGATATTCACTGTCTCTGCAGCCGATCATGTCACTGGCGCATGCACTCTGAAGGGACGGCATACTCATGCCTTCTCTTCAGGGCTCTGTGCGCATGCATGGGAGTGACGCCATCACAGCTCAGCCATTAAAATGGCCAAAGCACGCAAACCCGGAAAGTAGACTGGGTGAAGATGGAAGCCCTGATAGAGGTAACAGTGCGCAGCTGGAGGGCATTGTTTTGAAGTAAGTCTTTCAAAATGTGCTAGTATGTAGTGCATTTGATTCTGCATGCAAAATATTGCGTGAGATAATGAGATAATACAAGAGTCAATTCATTAAAGTAAAATATCAAATGTGAGGTAAATACAGCAAAAAAAAAGGGATAAATCATAAAAAGTCAATTTACTAAAGAAGACACACAATCGTTATATATCAGCTAGCAGTAGGCAGTCGGTATTTAGCGTTTTGAACCGCATCCAATTCGCATAATATGCGAAATAACATAGCTTGCTATTGTGCCTGTATATATGCAGTGCAACCAGAGTGCAGATTCAATGCAAATTGAAAAAAAAAGTCCTGTCAGTTTTCTGAGCAGTGCGGTCCGGCTCAGGTGCAAATTCAGGTTCATTGACTTTCATTGCAAACAGGATAAAATTCTGACTTGATCCTGATCTAAACCTGACTTGAACTGCTGAACAACTACTTCATCAATTAGCTGTGAAAACAGAGCTTCAATTCTCACCGCACATACTTGTATGTGAATCCACACTGAAGAGAACTCTGCACTGGCCAGTAAATTAAAAGTATACAATGTATCAGTGTGGAAATGTTCTGCCCTTGGCTCAGGAATAAAAATAAACTGTAACATTTTCCATATGAAGAGCATTCTATGAAGAAAGGCACATTAGAATGTGTTCACAGTTTCACAACATTTATTTCTGTGTGCATTTATTTACAGAACTACTTTCATCTGGGGCAGTGTTAGCATGTTAAAAAAAAAATGCAAAAAAAAACAACGCTTCAAAAATAACACTGAATTTAAGTGATAAATTTTGCAAAACCCTAAATATTTATCGCAATCGGTAGATAATACATTTTTTTTGTGAATTGACTACTTTTGAGATAAATACCACATGAGTTATTTTAACTCAAAAATCCATGCGTTGTTTATCTTTTAGTGAATTGACCCCATTGTCTTGCAGGGAGATTTTACTACCACTTTAACCCCTTGCTGTTCGCCCTATAGCAGAAATACTGTTACAGGGCGGCACGGATGGGCAAAATCACATATATATGTATATATATATATATGTGATTATGCAGTTCCGGGTAGGGGGCACGCACGCCCTGCCATGCCGCCATTCATGACATCGGCTGTCAATCACCGTGTCCCAGTGGGTGATTACTCGTCAGCACCCGGTGATCGCTGAGTAACACCGACACGGGGGGGGAGACAACTGTATATAAGCAATACAGTTCTCTCCCCTGTCAGCTCCTGCACACTACTTTGTAGGGCTCTGCATAGCAGAGCCCTACAAAGCAGTGTGCTTACAGTGAAGTACACACACAGCACATAATGTAAAACAGTACACAGGTTTCTCTCCTGTCAACATGGACATGCTGTTTTGTATCTCTCGCACAGCAGAAGATACAAAACAGCGTGCCACCCTAGTAAAACACAACACACTGCACACAGTAAAACACACACACAGCACACAGTTAACCCTTTGATCGCCCCACATGTTAACCCCTTCCTGCCCAGTGCCATTAGTACAGTGCCTCTGTTTTTTATTAGCATTGATCACTATATTGGTGTCACTGGGGATGTCAGTGACACCAAGTCAGTTCCCCCCAGTGTCAGAATGCCTGCCGCAGTCCCACTATAAGTTGCTGATCGCCGCCATTATTAGTAAAAAAAATAAAAATTAAAGATTCCAGTATATATACCGCCATTTGTAAACGCTATAACTTTCACGTAAACCAATTCATTTGCACGTATTGGGATTTTTGTTTCGCAAAGACAAGTAGCAGAATACATTTTGACCTAAATTTATGACTGTAAATTTTTACTGGACATGTTTCAATGGCAAAAAGTCAACAATACTGTTTTTTTTTCTCTCTTTATAATGCAAAAAAAAAAAAAAAAAACGCACAGGCGATCAAATATCACCTAAAGAAAGCTCTATTCATGGGAAAAAAAGGACGTAAATTACATTTGGCTGCAGAGTTGCATGACCGTGCAATTGTCAAAGTAATGCAGCGCCGTATCACAAAAAATGGCCTGGTCGAGAAGGGGGATAAATTCTCTGGAGGGCAAGTGGGTAATCAAAGGGGCAGGCTAGGAATAGTCAGGCTTTGTTTTTCTTTGACAAATAGCAATTTGAAAGAGATTTACTTGCCGCAACTACAAGGTCATATTGACCTGAATGGGTGTTTTTGATAGGCGGTACCACCTGTCAACACAAGCTGCACTGCATTTGCCGCAACACAAAGCATTGCAGCCGTGGTATGTTTACAGGCCCTCTGACTGTATAGTAGTTTTTAGGTTGGTAGCCGTTTAAAGTAGACCTTCCCCCTAAAAGGGAAGTTGCACTTTATGTGTCCCCCCCCCCCCCCCATTAATTTTGGATATTTTTATTTTTTAGGGGGGAGCAGGTACCTAGTTTTGGTAGGTACCCCCTTTACATCAGTCGGATCGCCCAGACAAAGTTCCCCACCTGCAGTCTTTTGGGACATGTCACAGGTCCCAGCTGGCTGAGGAACCATTCATGCAAAGTGGGAAGCCGCAAGGAGTCAAAGTCAGCTTCCCACACTTATGCAGGCCATAGACGGTTCATTTATCGGACACATTTTTGTCCGAAAGAATAATCGGCCGATATTTGCACCGTTAGAGCAGCAATATCATCGGCTGATTTTCACGGTTCCTCCTCCTCATTTCTTTTATCGGTCATGCTGGAAAATTTACGTAAAACGGCCAATTTTCGTAATCATTGGTGGCAATACAACGACCAATGTTTCGCTTTTCGGGCTGAAAATTCGGCCGATAAACGAACCGTCTATGGCCTGCATAAACATGCTTGTGCTGAGAACCCAAAGACCAATGAAGAACCAGGCTTGGGACGGTGCTGGATCTTTGGACAGCTAAGTGTCCTTTTATTAAAGCCATCAGCTGCAGTATTTATAGCTACCAACTTTTAATTTATTTTTCTATAAGGCAGCAAGACCGCTTTACAGTAGAACTATAGGCAAAACCTTTTTTTTCTTCATTTGGGATAGTGTAAGGGAGGGTTATAACCTGTCACATTTTTTTTTTGCCATCTGTGTCCTATTGGGGATATTTCCCTTCACTTCCTGTCCCACAGCCAAACAAAAATTGAAAGAAAATCCTTAGAGATTAAGGGAATTCCTTGGGCACCCCCAGGTCACCAGAATCAGTGTCCCCATTGGAAGATTTCCCCACTATTACTCTTCTGGGGACAGCCCAAAATTTGTGATTTTCTTTTACTTTCAATGATAATGATAAACAGGACAAATAAAGAGGGTGACTCTACCTGACGGGTGGTCAGACGGCAATAACAACTGACAGATGTTATACCTCATCTCTATTATGTCCAAAAACTAAAAAAAAAAAAAGGTTTTGCCTTCAGTTACACTTTAAGGCCTCGTTCACACAAGTGTACTACAGAATTCATTTGTACAAAGGCTGCACTTGCGCAAACAGGTGTTTTGTGCGTCCCCATGCAGGCAGTCCCATTCGTGTCACAGCTGCTGCTCCCAATGTGACATCTGAGCGCAAACTAATGCAGGCCATACATGGTTCGAATTCCGAATGATTTTCATACGAAAATCAGACCTAAGAAAAATCAGCCGATTTTCGCTCTGTTAGTGGGGCAATGGCATCGGCCGATTTTCAGGGTTCCTCCCCATTTCTTTTATCGGGTATGCTGGAAAATTCGAGAAAAACGACCGATTTTCAAAATCATTGGTGGCACCATCGGAATACAGAACGAATGACGTTTCGATTTTCGGACTATAAATCGTTCTGGATTTAAACCATGTATGGCCTGCATTAGGGGGAGATTTACTAAACGTGGTGCAGCTCTGTATAGTAGCCAATCAGTTTCCAGGTTTTGTTGTCAAAGCTTCATTGAACAGACTGAAGTTAGGAGTTGATTGGCTACCATGTATGGCTGCACCAGATTCTGAGTGCACCAGTTTTAGTAAATCTGCTCCAATGTGTGTTTTGTTGCCGTATACCTGCACGGCTGTCAAGCTGGATCAGCTGCTGCGTTTTGTGCCGGCAGTTCCATTCATGTCAGTTGGGATGCAGAACAACTATGCATCCCTGTAGGGGCAAACCAGACCCTCGCACAGGCGTATGTTGTAGCACCTGTGTGAATGAGGCCCAATACCATGCTCAGCCACCCATATAAAAAGGGCCTTGCAGTGCGCGGACGGCCCCACCACAAAGGGGGATTTTTGCTATCCCTGGAGCTCGGCTTTAAAGGATAAGTCCACCTTCGGAACATGTTGTGCGTTCCACCCGTTTTTAGGGTGGAACACGTAACATGTTCTCGATCCTGCAGCCACAGCCCAATGCCCTCCCTCCCTTTGAAAGCAGTACAGAGACAGCTGTCACTTTTTGAAAACAGCATGGCTGTGCAGGGCTCCGCCCAAACGGCTGCGTCATTCATTCACAGAGTTCTGTAAATGAATGAACTACAAGTACGGATGTTGGCTTGTAGTTCTCAGTGAAGTACCACAGTGCTGTGGTAGTTCATAGATTCTTGCTGCCAGTGTATCTGCTTGCCCGTAGGGGATGTATTAGTAAGCAGATATACTGACAGGTCTGCAGGAGTCCTGCATGGCACCAGTGATCTGCTGATCGTCACTGCAATGCTTTACAGGCTCCTGCAACAAAAAATAAAATTGGACATTTTTTTTCCTGCAAAAAGGTGCATTTATTTATTTTTGGTCAAAAGGTGAACTTATCCTTTAAACAGCCTATAAAGCATAAATTCCTTTGATGGGATCCTAAGTGACTTGTCCATGGTAGAAGGCAGACACACATCCTGATTAGTAGGTGGGGACAAGGGGCTGCACACTCACGGGAGATATGAAGTAAGGCTCATGACTGCTGTGTGAATGAACCTCTCTACTCTTCCTCGTGCCCCTTCCTCTCATCCCTTCACGTGCATGTCAGCCAGCTACGGCGCCCCGGAAGGGACACACAAATAAAAAAAAAATTGTATTGTCTATACTTAACTCCGTAAAATACAATTCTATACACAAAATGACACATTTTATTTATTTTCTATTACATTTCATGTATACTATAAACATTTTAATGTTAAAAACGCATTGGCTATACTAAACACCCTTCGACTACTAGAGGCCGAACATTGTGGATAGACATCCCTGTAGCTGTCCTCTCGTTGACTTCTACTAAACTCTATGGTAGAAGCCATTTTGTCGAAGCTCAAACCTCATTAATAACGGGAGATATTTGTAGTTTCAAAAGACGGAAGTTTTTTGCACATTTGTGGTCTAGTGTGCAGAAAGGCTTACACGTCCTTGCCGGGTTGTTGACAGTCTCTATGTATGTCCTTGTAGGGATTCCGTAGTCGGGTGACGTCAACGAGCCTTGTGATTGGTGCGGGTGTTCGGTGAGGAGTGAGAGTGCATGGTGTGCTGACAGTTCACCTGATGTGATCTCGGAGCGAGGGGCAGTGTGAGTGATCGGGGGACCCGGCAACGTGCTGCTCTATAGTCCCTCCTCGTGTTCTCATGTGTGGGGGAATCACTGATTACCTGCAGACTTTACTAGAATAATGAACACGGGTTATAGTCAGGGGTCGGATCCCATCATTGGTAGAACATGTTATTTACACATATATAGTTATTAAAAAAAAAAAGAGTGATCACCAGTAGAGATAAGCTTGGGTGACCTCTGATCTCATCTCCATGACTTCTCCAGAGCCTCCCCCATCCTCTGGAGCTCTCTACACCAATCTATCTGACTATTGCTTACTCTGCCCACTTTTAGGTCATTCCCGAAAACCTATCTCTTCAGGGAAGCCTATCCTGCCTTCAGCTAACTGAATTTTCTATTTCTCCTATCAGTTCATGCCCCCCGGCTTTTTATTACCTTTTTTTTTACTACCAGCCCCTCCCTCTTAGATTGTAAGCTCCCAGGATCAGGCTCTCCTAACCTTCTTGTATTGAACTGTATTGTCTCCCGTTATATTGTAAAGCACTGAGCAAACTGTTGGCGCTATATAAATCCTGTATAATAATGAGAATCTCTAGCTGTTTTTACTCCAATAAGCGCAGTCTGGGCCATTCTCACCCAACAGATGGTGTAAGAGATGGGCTGTAGGGTGGAATGACCCAGCCATGGCTCATTGGTGTTTAAAAAAAAAACATAAAATGGCCTTAAAATCACTTTGAAGAACGCCCAAGCTAATATTTATCGCCATATTAGGGCTCATGCGCTCAGACATAAAAACGGCTGTGCTCGGATCCCTAAATCGCAAGGAAACTTGCTAAAACTTGATCAACTATAGTAAATAGTGATCAGCTCACGTGTTCAGACACAATTTCGAACCCGATTGAGCTAACCTGCCGAGAAGCTGTTCAAAACCAACTACCAATCAAAGGCGGCCAAGACATTCCCTGCTTGGCAGCTGCAGGTATGCAAGGGGCATCTATGCATGTGGCTGGTAGTTGGCTTTGAACAGGAGGGATTGTCCAGGTGGGTTTGGATCCTTATCTGAATGCTCCTGAGCTCATCACTAAGGCCTAGTTCACATTGGCATTGAAAGCAGGCGTTTGAGGGGTGTTTTTAACGCTCCTCAAATGCCTGTGCAAATGATACTGCTGTTCACATTATCAAAACATGAAGAGTTAGTGTCACGTTGCTTCAATATTAAAGCCTCATGTTGAGTCTGGAGGAGTTTGAAGCCTTTCAATGCTTCTCATTCAAGTCTTTAGTGATGCATCACAAACACGCTGGCTGGAGTTTGCGGTGCAGTGTTGGCGCCAGGGTGGATAAAAATCCATGATTTTTTTTTAAAAAATCAAAAAAATCTGATTTTTTTGATTTAAATCGGATTTTTTTTTAATAAAATGCTTTTTGAAGAAAATATATTACCATCCAAAGGTTATTCCATCATGAAATAAAGATTAGTTTTTTAATTATGTAGAATAAGGCTGTATATGTTTAATTTTTTTTGGTAAATAAATTCCATTAATCCATTCACAATGTCATGCTCTTCCAGAGGTTTTTGTAAGATTATTGGGCAGTTTCTCTGCCTACAAGATATTATCACAGATGCTTCGGTTTACTTTTTGCAGTTCTCAAAACTGAATTTGACTCAGCAGAGATCACATGCTTCTTCTTCACAGCAAAAATGTTATAACATGAACAGAGTTAAGAAAAAGACCTTAATCCTAACTTCTACAAACCTATGAATACAGAATCAACCCCTTCAGTGCTAAGTTTCAAGAAGTTCAGTGAATAGAATAGAAACAATATTTGTCTGACTGTTTGGAGTGGAATAGATCTGCACAAGAAGAAAGTGAAACTAAGTGTGAGGAGGAAGGGGCTGACAGTCTAAGTTTCTTAAATTATATATATTTTGTTTAGCCAAATTAGTTACCAAACATGGATGTTTGTTTAAGCAAATAACATATGCTGGAATGTTATTGTTTCAGTTGAATAAATCTATTTAAATTGTTATTATTAAGGTAATGATTATTTTTCTCCTTCCTAAGTACAACAGAAAAGTTGTCCAAATATGAATGATTAACCTATTAAACTGGGGATAAAAAAACGAATATGAAAAGTTGTTTTTTCTAAAAATCTTCATCTACTTGCATATTAAAGTTATACCAGCAAGAATTAGTCTTTATGTAGAAAACTAGGATTTAAATCAAGCCTTACTGACTAGGGATTTAAATCGTGATTTAAATCAGTTTGATTTAAATCAAATCCACCCTGGTTGGCGCGTTAGTAACAGTAAAAATTATAGGCGTTTGTGGTGCAGTTGTAAGGCTTGTAAAATGCCTCAAAGCCGCACATAGGGCATTTGGGGAGCATTTTTAACACTTGTAAAACTCCAATCTACTGCCCATACTAAAGCTCATTAACACCTGTCAAAATGCCCATACTAAAGCTTGTTTTTGCCTGTCTAAAATGCTCATACTAAAGCTCATTAACGCCTGTGTAAATGCCCATCCTTGCGCTCATTAATGCCTGTCTAATACGCCCATCCTAGCGCTCAATAACGCCTAGGCGATCGCAGCGGAAGTGGGAGCGGGTACCTGTCAAATTCGGGTACCCACTCCCCCCCAATCCTTAATGGGGAGCCGGGGACAAAGGCTTAAAGCACAGTGACAGCTGTAACTTTTTGAAAACAGCATGGCTCTGTGGGGCTACGCCCAAACGGCTGCGTCATTCATTCACAGAGTTCTGTAAATGAATTAACTACAAGTACAGACAGCCCTTGCGGATGCTGACTTGTAGTTCTTAATGAACTACCACGGTGCTGTGGTAGTGCATGGCACCAGTGATTCTGCAACCAAAAAAAATAATTGGACATTTTTTTTTACCTGAAAAGAAACGGTCATTTATTATTTTTGGTCAAAAGGTGAACTTATCTTTTAAAGCAGAGTTCCACTCACCCAGTCAAAAAATAAAAGTCAGCAGCTACAAAAACTGTAGCTGCTGACTCTTAAAAAACAGCCACTTACCTGTCTCTCGGTCCCACAGAGCCCCGCCGCAGCCTGTTTCACCGGCAGTCCTGTATTCCAGGAGGCCGGCATCTTCAGTGTGGGCACCTGGCTGTGACTGCTTGTGGCTTCACAGCTGGGTACCCACTGCACATGCGCAAGAAGTGCTGCGCTTTGTGAATGGCCCTGTAGTCTTCTGGGACCCGTCACGTGTCCCAGAAGACTATGAAGAGGGAGGGAGAGAGGACAACTTCTGCTTCCGATCGCCTAGGCCAGGGGTAGGCAACCTGAGAGCCGCAGGACTACAAGTTCCATCATGCCTCTGCAAGTCATAGCTGTAACTGTCAGTTTTGTAATCTTTGCAATGGTACATGGGAAATGTAGTTCCACAACAGCTAGAGAGCCGCAGGTTGCCTACCCCTGGCCTAGGCGATCGCAGTGGAAGTGGGAGCGGTTATCTGTCAAATTTGGGTACCCGCTCCCCCCCCATCCTTAATGTGGAGCAGGGGACAAAGGCTTAAAGCGGAACTTCCCCTTTTGGGTGGAGCTCCGCTTTAATTAGTCATCGGGGTTGGCATGATCCTGCGCATGCACATGGTAGACATTCATGCCAGCAATGCACGCTGAACTGCAAATGGCAAAAAAAATACCTGATAGGATTATAACCCTCCCTTACTCTATCCAAAAAAAAAAAAAGTTTTGCCTATAGTCCGATTTTAAAATCAATGTAATGGAGAGGTGTGTTGAATTAGTGTTAGTACAGGTTCCATTAAAAAATAAAAAAAATGGGCTAACTGTGTATACTTGCTTTTTTAGGAAAACCTCCCTGGAACATTTAAAAAATACCGTTGTCAACTTTATAAATGTGCCTTGGAAGGCTCCAACATGCGTTCTACATGAATAACATGTGACATGCTAGTGCAATGTGGAGTATTTCCTGCTATGTCCTAAGTTGTAAATTATTCTTGGAGTCTTACATAAACCTTCTCCGTCATGGATATAAATTAGAATAACAGTTCCCCCGCTTGACAGGTAGTTTGAAATGTAATATGCTGCGTTGGCCAACTTAAAGCTGCATTCTGATCTATAGAAACCTTGACTATTTGTAATGCAGCTTCAGACTTGGTAAGTAGGACGATTTTCTTTGTGGCTTTGTCACAGTGATGACGGGAGTTCTCTCCCTCCCTGTAACCACTGCTCCATTGGTAAGCGCCCTGACATGTTATTTGTGTAGGCAACCTGCGGCTCTCTAGCTGTTGTGGAACTACATTTCCCATGAGGCATTGCAAAGATTACAAAACTGACAGTTACAGCTATGACTTGCAAAGGCATGATGGAACTTGTAGTCCTGCGGCTCTCAGGTTGCCTATCCCTGGTGTAGACTGAATGCTATTTGCACATGAAGTTCTACGTGGTGCACCTACGTCAATAGGATGTGACATAGGGTGCCTGGCAGGAGGTCATTGTAACTGAGGACACGGGAAAGATGAGCTTGCACCTTTTCAACAATTTTTTGCTGGCTAGTAAAGGCTATTGCCTAAATTTCAAACATTTTTCTTTGATGACTAACATTTTGCTTTAATTGATGGAACTCCCTACCCCAATCCATCAGACTATCACCTACTCTGCTCACCTTTAGGCGCACTCTGAAAACCCATCTCTTCACAATAGCCTACCCCACCCTCAGCTAATACTGGAATCCTCTACTCTTCCAACCACTCCATCCCCCACAGTTATTACCCCTTGTACCAATATCGCCTCCCTCCTAGATTGTAAGCTCCAAGGAGCAGGGCCCTCGAATCCCTCGTGTATTGTATTGTATTGTTGCTGTGTGGTCTCCCACCATAATGTAAAGCACTGAGCAAACTGTCGGCGCTATATAAATCCAGTATAATAATAATAACATGGTACATAATTGTTAATGCAAAATGTTTACTTCCAAGTGCATTATTATTGTTTTAGTTAATTTTAAGGCTCCATGCATACTAGCATTTTTTTTAAGCTCACAAAATGCTGGATGAAAAAAAGCTGGCAATAGCATTTTTTAGTAGCATTCATTATCATTTTTACAGTACGTGTAGAAAAAAAGGAAAAGGCTAGAAAAAAGCTGTTAGTAGCATTTAGGAGTGTTTAGATTTTTTTCTGCTGGAAAAATGCTCAAAAAAACTGTACAAAAACAATTTTTTTTCTGCTCCTAGAAGCTGAAGCTCAAAAACGCGTGCATGGGCACATAACATTGTATAGCTTCTAGGAGAAAAAAAAATGCTATTAATAGCTTCTAGGAGCAAAAAAAAAAATGCTATTAATAGCTTCTAGGAGCAAAAAAAAAATGCTATTAATAGCTTCTAGGAGCTAAAAAAAAAACGCTAGTGTGCATGGAGCCTTATATAACAAGATACTGCTTCCTTAAATATTTTCTTTATATTTGTGCAGGAAAGTGTTGCCGATCCGATACTCATATTTTAACAAAGCACACAAGGGTTTTTTGAAAATGGCATCTTCAAGTCGGACTCAGGTGTTAAATCTGTACAAAATAATGTTAAGAGAAAGCCAGAAGTTCAGTTCCTACAACTACAGGTAAGTTAGGCTGAATATATTTTGCAGCTTTTGATGGTGTATGATGGTCACAATGATGCCAATCACAGAGCTACAGTCTGTAGTAACCAGATGCTTGTTTTCATTTTCTTTTCTGCCATAGGAAATGTAATCTGGCCTGTATTGGTTATTGCGCCACACATCACCTCTGATGGTCCACCGAAAATGTTAACAATAAACTTGGTAGTAGAATCAATCACTTACTGAGTATGCAGCTTTTTCAGCTTTTAATCCTTGCCTGTGTTTCAATTTAAGATGGTGGCATAATCTCTGCCCCAGGTTTTCTGTTTCAGAGTGGCTCCTTTCTCTTGCTGCATCTTATGGAGATACCCTTCCAGGCAGAGACTAGAGCTGTGTCTCCCTACACTGTGTGCATCAATAGAAATACACAGCCCCATAGCCTAGGATGGCTAGGCACCCTCCTGCTTCTCCTTTCTCTTCCCCCTCCCTTATCCAAACTTATAGACTGGCTTCAGACTGCTGTGTCCTCTTATAACACTTTTTCTTTGAAGACCGGACGTTCATGTATGCAGCAATGAGAGGCAACTGGAACCAGCAGCATTGAACATTGTAAACTGCAAGTGCTGGTGTAAGAATTTTAACAAATTTGTCTTCGGGGGAATGTTGGTTTTATTTTGCTCAATGCGTTAATCTAAAAATGCTGAGGGTTACATACTACTTTATAAACCTATAGCAAACACAAGGAGTAACAAGTTATCTCAGGGATAGCCACAGAAAATGAAAGTCCTAAGAACAGAAATCAGATTTTTGCATTTATTAGGTCAGAGGGTGACATATGTGTTATGGGCATTAGTAAGTGAGCCTTGGGTTCCCTCAGTGTTGTTCATGGACGGTGTAGTGAATCACTTGGCATAGTTCTTTGAGTTTTGCCTAGCAATCAGCTGTGATGAACAAAAGCAAAAAGGGCGCACTCTCATCGTGCATTACCGTGGTACACCACGTGTTTATTGTGAAATCAAATAGATATATACTCACAAACCAAAGGAAAATATAAGCAGAATAGGTGGTCCGCAATACAATGCTGTGCAGTCCAATACAATGCTGTGCCCAAAATAGGGATAGGCTGACGCATTTCAGGAGATGAACCCCCTTCTTCAGAGCTAAAACTTTAGCTCTGAAGAAGGGGGTTTGTCTCCCGAAACGCGTAATGCACGATGAGAGTGCGCCCTTTTTGCTTTTGTTCATCAAATATCCAAATTTCCCAATCTTTGAAGGGCTGCACCTCCTCGTTTGGCATTCTGAATTCCTTCTAGTCTGCATGAAGATTTGAGCGCTGGTTTCGTTTGTTAGTGTTTGGATAGCAATCAGCTGTATAGAAACTTGAGCTGCTTACTGCAGTGCTAGACCCAAAAACAAAAAAATTAGATTTTGCAGTTTACCAATCCTTAAACGGGGTTGCTGCTTTAGGTTTATTTTTTGTTTTGGGCTGTCTCTGCTCTGACTGGAGGAGTAAGGAGAAAAATTGGACAGTGGCATTGTCAGTCTGGAGAGAGAGTAGTTTTAGATGAACTGGGCAGCACTGGCTAAATGGTTAGCACTTCCACCTGGCAGCACTAGGGTCATTGGTTCAAATCCCAGTCACGGCACCACCTGCCTGGAGTTTGCATGTTCTCCCTGTGCCTGCGTGGGTTTCCTCCGGGTACTCTGGTTTCCTCCCACACTCCAAAGACATGCTGGTAGGTTAATTGGTTCCTGTCTAAATTGGCCCTAGTATGTGTATGTATGAATGTAAGTTAGGGACCTTAGATTGTACACCCCTTGAGGGTTAGGGACTGATGTGAATGTACAATATATATGTAAAGCGCTGAGTAAATTGACAGTGTTATATCAGTACCTGTAATAAATAAATTAACTAGAAGATTTAGATGGACTTGAGTAACAAAATAACCACTTCTCCTCTTACACCTGTTCACCCACTGTTGACCAGAACAATTTTTACATTTCTGCTATTGATCTATTTATTCAGCAATCACTTTGTCATTTTTTAAGATAACAAGGTAATACATATGTCTATTTTTTAAGTACAAACAAGGTTTTCTTTTCATGATATTGCCTTGTATAATAATGTTTTCATTTTTTTCAATCCACACTTTACCTCCTTTTTTTTTATTTACATAGTGTTACTGCACACATTCTTTGTGGTGTGCGTGGCCTTTGTTCTATTTGCAAAAGTTCAGTAAAAATAGTATATAAAAAATAGTATTGCTGCAGATAAAATGTGCATTTTATTCTATAATTTGTCCAGTTTAAAATGACACTAAAATTATGATTAAGTAAAAAGCAACGCAAAGTTATTGAAAAGGGAAATGTGGAAATTTGTTAAATGTGTAAAAATAATAACAAACAAAGTTTAATTATTAATATTTAAAAAAACAGAAACAAAAAAAAAATCAGTAGGAAAATAATAGTTGAAGGGAGAAGGAGAATAAGGAGTTTATCTCCTAGATTGTAAGCTCAAAAGAGCAGGGCCCTCGATCCCCTCATGTTTTGCATTGTATTGGTATTGTTCTGTCACATGTTCTGTCCCCCTTTGTAATGTACAGCGCTGAGTGAACTATTGGCGCTTTATAAATACTGTATAATAATAATAATAATTTGGGCTGATAAGAGTAAAGAGTATACTAAGGGTTAGTAAGGGGCTAAAAAGAAAAACATTTTGTCAGGTTGCTTTAACTGTCTTAACAGTTCATTTCTTTGAACTGCAGATGAATGAATAGAATGATACAAAAGTGACATTATTTTACTTTGTATATTCCTATATTCGTGTCTGAGCAGTGTTGTTTATAAGCTCTGGTTCAGACTGCTTTTTTTTGACAGCTTCAGCTCTCGACACCTTCCTCAGTACTCAGCAATCCTGGCTTTGATTTTATCAAAGTTGACAATAGCCGCATATTGGGGGGGGTCCCAGTAGCAGGGCAGAGAGACTGGACGTGCTACACACGTTCAGTGTACAATGATAAAGTTTTTTTGAGAGTGTGCAGCAGAGCTAAAGTTTGGAACTAGTTAAAGCCAAACGTCATCTAACAATTTTAGAGCAGTTACAGCAACAGTTTTCTTTTTCCTTTTGGATAAAGGTTGTACATAAATAAAAACTGACAATTGTAATCCCCCTGTTAGTGTTACATGGTTTGTGTCAGCACTCTAACTCTAAACAATAAGACTTACTGGCTAGATCACCAGGTGCAAACAAAAGGAAAAAAAAAGCTTAAAGTGATACTAAAGCTTAATTTTATTGAATTTTTTTGATAAAATACCTAACATGTCATACTTACCTGCTCTGTGCAGTGGTTTTGCATAGAGCTGCCCCGATCCTCTTCTTTTCGGGTCCTCCTTCGCCACTCCTGGCTCCTCCCCCTTGAGCAGTGCTACCAGGGAAATCTGCGTGTCCTGGGGGCACCAATGCATGCTTGCTCCCTAGTTACTACTCTATGGGTCCATAAGAAACATAGAGCTGTGGATCAGCCCCGCCCCCAGCTCTCTCCTGTTTGGCTTACTGGAGCCAACGGGCTCCTGCTGTTGTCTCAGCCAATGAGGAGGGAGAGTCCCCATGCAGCCGAGGCTATCATAAACATCTCTAAATCAGAGGGGGCTCATGTAAGGATGGGGGGGGGTTACCTTCATGCATAGAATACATGAACATAAATAACCATGAGCCTTTAGAACCACTTTAAAAAAAAAAAAAAATACAGCCACCACATCTAAGTATTTTCTTTTTTTTTGGGGGGGGGGGGGGGGGGTTTAATACCACTTTAAAGCTTACACAGGGGACTCGTCTTTAAAACTGGATTTCTTTCTGTTATGTTTTACTTAGTTCAAATTGAACAGCAAAAATGAGAAAAAAGTGCGTTTTTCAGTTAGGTAAAATCTTTTAACAAGCATTTCCTTTGAGGTCCAGAAACCAAGGTTTAGTAGCTAAAAAAAGAAAAACCTGGAAGGTTTTAAAAATAAAACATACCTTTAGTGTCATTGCTCCCTTTGCATTCCTTCCTGCACTTTAATTTTAATAAAATAAGGTGTACCCTAAATCCATATGTCTCCTGTGCATAAATGTGATGAACGCAATCCCTCTTTCTCTTCATCTGCAATGGTCTTGTTGGTGCATAGAACAGAGATTACAAAACTTATTTTGTTTGCCACAGTGTGAAATAATCCAATCCCTCCACCATGCAGAAGATCATCTTTCTGGTTATATACTAGACATGTAAATGCAAAAGATGTATTAATTTTGGGGGAAAAAAATCAAGACTAGAATACACTTTATTGAAATTACAGTTTGATCTGACAGGCTCCGTTCAGATGATTATGGTGGCAATTGGGCTGATGACCTTATTCACACAGTTCAGTGGGCTTGTTTAGACTTCAGCTTCCCTTCTTAGGCACTTAGACCATTCTGCATATTCCCACTATTAGTACAGGTCAAAAGAAGGCTTTGTTTATGGCAAAACCAATGAAGTCTGTCCAAAGTGCTTTCTTCTATGCTCTTTATTCATTTAAAAAAAAGGTGCTAGTACTTAAGGGTTGGGTAGCACACCTGGCCAGTTTGATGGCTCAAGGTTCCTGTGAGAAAAGGATAAGTTCAAAACCCTTCAACTTTTGAGAGTTTCAGACTTTAGTAGAAGTCTTTTCAGTAACAGATTCTAGCCCATCATGTTGAGATTCTCTTTTAGAATTTCATGCAAAGAGTGAAGTCCATCAACATCTGTAAATAAAAATTCTGGTTTTGACAAGCCGTCATCTGACTTAAATTTTGGCAGTTCATCTGAACTGAGATCTAAACTTTCTAGTGGACTTTGTTATCAGCCAATATCACGTTCAAGATGGTCCTTCTGGTTGCTTTCACTTCGGCACAGACTCGGCAAGATGCATTCTCTTTCTATTTGGAAACCTTCCCTGGAAATGTTTGATGACAAGCATAGTTGTCCATGGCCTGATGGACTGCATGGAAGATCCTTGCCTTTTGG